CGAGCGTACTTGAGGGACAAAGGGAGGGGACTGGACTTGACGATGAGTAAGACTAAATACGATGACGAAATGAGACTATACAGACGGGAAATCGGGAGGGCTAAGAGAAAAAGATGGGAAAACTTGTGCGGGGACCTGGAGAGAGACCCATACGGGAACGCATACAAAATAGTAATGGGTAACTTCAAGGCTCCTTACCCCAGGGTGGACCTGTCCCCGGAGAGCCGACAACGACTCTTCGAGGACTTGTTCATCTGGGAGGGAGAGGGTGAGGATGAAGGGGCTAGTGGTGACAACACGAGCGCGGGAGAAAGGAAGTTCGAGTTGGGAGAGTTGGTGCAGGCGGTGCGGGGAGTTAAGGACGGGAGGGCACTGGGGCCAGATGGGATCGCGCCTCGCCTCGTTAGGATAGCTGCGGAGGAGGCCCCAGCAGCAATTCTGGGGATGTACTCCGAGCTGTGGAGACGAGGTGAGTTCCCGGCAGAGTGGAAGGTGGCGAAACTGATACTGGCCGAGAAGCCGAGGGCCGACCCGGTTGGGGTGCCAAAATATCGGCCGATATGCCTACTTGACGTCTATGGGAAGCTCTATGAGCGACTCGTAGGCGCGAGGCTGTCGGCCGATATTGACGCGAGCGGGGGGCTCCATAGGGGGCAGTACGGTTTTAGGAAGGGGGTCTCCACGATGCACGCGATCGCGGAGATCGTGGACCGGGCGCGTAAAATAGGTAGGGCGCGGACGTCGAAGTGGGGGATTCTCCTCTGCTTCGACGTCAAAAACGCCTTCAACACGGCGAGATGGGGCATAATTATGAGCCGGCTGAGGGACAGGGGTGTGGCACCGGACACGCTTAGGGTCGTCAGGGACTATCTGCGGGACAGGAAGGTCGAGGTGACGAAGGGAGTTGTGCGGAGCGTCTTCGGTGGCGTTCCACAGGGGTCCGTCTTGGGTCCTCTTCTGTGGAATGTCATGTACGACGGCGTTTTGAATCTCCCCCTTCCGACCGGCGTGCTGCCTGTCTGTTTCGCGGATGATCTGGCGCTCTGGGTAGAGGGGATGACAGAGGAGGAGGTGAACGGGAAGGGTGCCGAAGGGCCTCGATTAGTAGGAGAGTGGATGGTCCGGAACCGGCTCGAGGTGGCCGTGGCGAAAACCACGGTTATCATGTTGGGTCGGCACCGGCCATCCGCTAGACTGCGGATTAGGGTGGGGGAGGATGTGTTCTTGCCGGTGCGGGAGGCCAAATATCTGGGTGTGGTGTTGGGTCTCCTCATGGGCGAGCACGTAAAGGAGGCGGTGAAGAAGGCCGGTCGTACCATGGCGGTGGTGGGTAGACTGCTAGGGAGGGTGAGAGGGCCGACCCATCGGAAGCGGAGAGTGTTAGCGGGGGTGGTGACGGCGATCTTAATGTATGGGGCCCCGATGTGGTGCGAGGCGATGAGGATCGCAAAATACCGCGGCATGGTGCTTTCTCTGCAGAGAACGTGCTGTATCGCGGTGGCCTCAATGTATCGCACCATATCGGGACCAGCTGCATGCGTCATCGCGAAGATGATCCCTCTGGATCTCCTGGCTCGGGAGCGGGAGCGTGTGTTCCGTAGTGCCGGGGAGAGAGGGGAGACACTATGAAAAGGTGGCAGGAGGGCTGGGCCGGCGAGAAGAGGGCTTCCTGGACGAGGCGGCTGATACCCGAGGTAGGCCGCTGGGTTGACTGCGTACACACGTACACAACGTACTACGTGACGCAGGCACTCAGCGGACATGGATGCTTCGGGGATTACCTGCATCGGATCGGGAAGTGGCGGTCCAGCGCCTGCATGTACTGCGGGGAGGTGGACACGGCAGAACACACGCTCTTTGAGTGCGGGAGATGGGAGATACAGAGAGGGTCTTCGCGGTGGCGGGGGGCAGACGTCTGACGCCGGAGACGCTGATGGAGGGAGTGATGGGGACGCGAGAAGGTTGGAGGGAGGTGGTGGACGCGCTCGGAGACCTCCTTCGACAGAAGGAGGAGAACGAGCGTGCTAGGCAGGCGAGAGGGGAGTGAATATGGCCCGCTGGGTAGAAGTGAGCACACGAGTGCGTTCCTACCCAGCAAGTAAGCCTGGCCAAGGAGTGGTTTTAGTGAGTATGCCTTTAGGAGAATCTCACACTACCTTGCGCTGATAGAGCCTAAGGCGCTTGGTGTCTATAAAAGATTTCCACTTAAAAAAAAAAAAAAAAAGGTTAGGTTAGGTTAGGTTAGGTTTATGTTAGGGTTAGGTTAGGTTAGGTTAGGTTTAGGTTTAGGTTAGGTGTAGGTTTGCTTTAGGTTAGGTTAGGTTAGGTTTAGGTTAGGTTAGGTTTTAGGTTAATTAGGTTTAGTTATACAGGGTTATTCTAAATGATGGACCCAATTTAATAAATTCGTATTTATTTAAATATAAATGCAAAATGAACAATCTACATACCAATGGAAAGAGGAAGTTTCAAAGTTTTTTTTACATATGCAGAAACGGCCGCTAGAGTTCTCGCGCCAGCCAGCCGCCTTTGTGTTGTCAGTTGTGAGTGAGATGGCTACCGTGCAGCACAAGGTTTTCTGCGTTCTTGAGTTTGCTAAAAGTGAGTCGCAAGTTACAGTGCAGCGGGCATTTCGTCTGAAATTCGGTATTGAACCACCGACAAGAAAAAGCATTAGCCGTTGGTTTACGCAATTTCAGCAAACTGGAAGTGTGTGTAAAGGAAAAACCACAGGCCGACCGCGTGTATCTGATGACGCCGTAAGACGAATTGAAGAAAGTTTTGTTCGCAGTCCAAGGAAGTCAACCAATAGAGCTAGTACAGAACTTGGCATACCCCAAACAACTGTATGGAGAGTTCTGCGAAGACGTTTACTGTACAAGCCCTATCGATTACAACTTGTGCAGGCTCTAAAACCTAATGACAAAGTGAAGCGTATTGAATTTTGTGGTGATATGCTACAAATGATGGAGGATGACGGATTTCTACAGCGTATCGTTTATAGCGATGAAGCTACGTTCCACCTCAGTGGGAAAGTCAACAGACACAATGTACGCATATGGGGTCTACAAAATCCACATGCAACATTACAACATGAAAGAGACTCGCCAAAGGTAAATGTGTTCTGTGCCTTATCTCGTACAAAGATTTATGGACCATTTTTTTTTGCGGAAAGAACTGTGACTGGAATCACTTACCGGGACATGTTGGAACAATGGTTGTTCCCTCAACTTATGGAAGATTCACAGGACTTCATTTTCCAACAGGATGGAGCTCCGCCCCATTGGCATCTTGATGTCCGAAACTTTTTGAATCATTCACTTCCTGAGCGTTGGATAGGACGCATAGGAAATGAAGATCTGGCTCTACACTTCTGGCCACCGAGATCTCCTGATCTCACCCCGTGTGACTATTTCTTATGGGGTTACGTCAAGGAAGCTGTTTACGTCCCGCCTCTACCGGCAACTCTGGTTGATCTGAGGAACCGTATCACTGCTGCGGTGCACTCAATAACAGAAGATATGCTTTCTCGTGTGTGGGACGAGTTTGGCTACCGTTTAGATGTTTGCCATGCCGCACAAGGGGGACATATTGAACATTTATAAATATGTAAAAAAAACTTTGAAACTTCCTCTTTCCATTGGTATGTAGATTGTTCATTTTGCATTTATACTTAAATAAATACGAATTTATTAAATTGGGTCCATCATTTAGAATAACCCTGTATTTTAGAATAACCCTGTATAATTGTATATATAATATAACCATTATACAGGGTGTCCCTAAAAGGTCTGTACAACGCGCTACCAGGTGTTCTTGGTATCAAAATAGGACGATTTAACCCAACTTACCTCTATCCAAAAGTGCTTCGGTAAGGCGCTATCTACCACCAAAGATTCAAAAAACAAATAGTTATTTTTATTTTATCGGAAAATGGTTTTGCCGATTAAAATGAAAGTCGGGATGTGAATGTCTAATGTAAAAAGGGTCTTTTTGATATCATCTTTTTGATTGTAGTTGCTATGTAGGTGGTAAAATACTGACCATCCACATCTGAAGAGGTCCAAAACTTTTTAACTACTATTTTGACGGTTCTGAATTTTTAGACACTGATAGACAGTTTACTTGCAAGCATTTTTTGTCTCTTGATGAATATCGCTATCGGTGATGGTTTACGAAAAAAAAAATAAATTTAGGCATGATGAATGGCATGCACCATACATGCGATTGTTCCTAAAAAAATCAGAAGATGGCTGTTAAACCTTAGAGTGGCGTAACGTTTGTTTGTTGTTTCTTAAACTTTAACAATTTACGTTTTGCTTGAAGACTTAAAACTTTAAAAAATAACGTACCAATGTTGCAAAGGACACAGTTTAATTTATTACGCCGTATAATGCTTTGTATGCGTGAAAATGGTGGTCACTTTGAACATTTAGTACGTTTAAATTAATACATTACATTGACTTACTCTGTTGTGTTCGTTTATTCTACATTACTTGCTTGCACTACGGTTTCATAGCCTACTTCTTGCTTGCACTTATGGTTTTTGAGGAACAATCGCATGTATGGTGCATGCCATTCATCATGCCTAAATTTATTTTTTTTTCGTAAACCATCACCGATAGCGATATTCATCAAGAGACAAAAAATGCTTGCAAGTAAACTGTCTATCAGTGTCTAAAAATTCAGAACCGTCAAAATAGTAGTTAAAAAGTTTTAGACCTCTTCAGATGTGGATGGTCAGTATTTTACCACCTACATAGCAACTACAATCAAAACGATGATATCACAAAGACCCTTTTTACATTAGACATTCACATCCCGACTTTCATTTTAATCGGCAAAACCGTTTTCCGATAAAATAAAAATAACGATTTGTTTTTTGAATCTTTGGCGGTAGATAGCGCCTTAACGAAGCACTTTTGGATAGAGGTAAGTAGGGTTAAATCGTCCTATTTTGATACCAAGAACCCCTGGTAGCGCGTTGTACAGACCTTTTAGGGACACCCTGTATACTGGATCATATAAGGGAGGACGCAGTTAGCGGCACGCATAGAACGCGGAAAATATGCCTGATGGCATCGGTAGACGTAAAAAACGCCTTCAACTCAGTCTCGCACCGTTACATCACTAAGGCATTGAAAGAAATTAGAAAGCCTCAGGGTGTTGGGTGTGAAGCACCTATAACGACGTGGTACAAACCGAAAACTAGTTATCTTGACAGTAAACAAATCAAGTGATCATCTTATTTACATTTGTATTAGATGGAAGTTGGTCTTTTTCAAGGCGGATTCCCACTACTCGAGGCTTGGCGATCCTATGGCTCGGCTCGTGGCTTGGCGAGTTAAAAGACGAGCCGAGCCATTCGTTCCCACTACACGTGTCAATACACGATCTTAGGTGGCGGATACTTGTTTTTTTAACGAACTTGCAGTGGCGTAGTTAGTCTGTTCGAATATGCCAAGTCGACGACAGCGCATTGCCGCGTTGGCGGCGGCTTATTATTACATTGCCGCTTTAAACGTCTTGAAAGAGAAGCGAAAAAAAAAGAAACAAAGACGTTGGTGGGTAACGTCTTCATATAAAAGTCGAACTAGGTAAGTTAAGTTTGATATCATTTCCACGCGTCGTGTACTAAATTTCTATTTTTGTGCTGCGGATGTCGTGGGTTCCATATCACTGGTTCCCCTTCGTACAACTCCAAAAACTGTAAAGCAAGGTCATTTGACCACTCCATTTTTCACAAACTTCGGGCAAAACAAACAAATTATCTGAAATAATAATGTTCCAACGAGGAAACTACCGAGACACTGTCGCACGCTACTGAATTAAAATCATTCTGCAGTCTACAAGGTTACATGCTCGTTCTAGGAATTCTCCTTTGACTCGTGCAACATTTACCGACATCGAACGGGAACGGCAAGCCGCGCCAAGTTTCAACGAGCATTCCCATTCCCACTGCTTGTGGCTTGCCGAGTCACGCGCCAGACTCGCCAAGCCACGGGTAGTGGGAATCCGCCTTCAGGCTAGCGCACTCATTAACGTAAACCTTGATTTACCGTATTTACATGCAATTGACTATTAGATATATGTCTTATCTTTTTATTACAGGAGACAGATTTTGTGGGCCCAAGCGTTCTTGGTCAGCAGAGGAGAAAGACGCAGTTTTGCTCGACTTTGCGAATTGCATAGAGATAAAAAAGTTACCATCTTACCACGATGTGCAGGCAGCCGCCAGTAAGCATTCAGTCTTATGTAATAGGTCTCCTACTTCTATCCGACTTTGGATTGAGAACCAAATTATGAAGAAGCGAAAGTCATGTGAATTATCTGGTAATGGTGGTGGCCATAAAGATAAAGGTGTGTATGTTGTTTTTACATTCACGTTTGTCTCTCTATCCTTCCATTCTTCTTTCTTTGCGTTTTTGCAAAACCACGCTAATCTTTTCTTTTTGATACAGTGATAAAACGTATCAGGTGGTCAATCGAGGAGCAGAACACTTTAAATTCTGAGTTCGCACGTCACATAAGGGGTAATACATTACCATCCCAGAGCGAGATACAAGCAGTGATAGACAATAATCCACATATGCAACAAAGATCAGTGAAATGCATAAAAACAACAGTTTTGAACGCAAGAATTAAATACAGAGGTCGGTGTACTATTTACAATAATTGTTTTCTAGTTTACATTTCTCCTCTTGTTTCAGCTTCTTAAATGTTAGTCCTTGTAGCATTGGTTGGCTAGGATACAACAAATACTGGTAGATTGTTATTATTGATCTCATTTAATGCTTTCGAATAGAGAATCAAAATGGAATTCAATTTCTAATAGTGCGGGAGCTAGCACGTGTTTTACCCTCCTCATAACCGGAGCTTTCAAAATGTGTTGCAAAACACAGGTTTATACTCCTACGTCACAAAAATCATTCGCTGCCACCTCAGAGCGGTGGCAAAGTAGGTGAAATTAGACAACAAATTGTTGCAAAAAATGACACAATCAAACGATTTCCGGGAGCATTTGAAAACTTGTAGGGTGGTAGTGTAATTATCGATTAAGCTATAAATCAGTTGCTGCCACCTGTAATCGGTGGCTAATTATTGCTGCCAGTCAATTGTTGACAATTTTTAGGACCAACCCTCCTCATAACCGGAGCTTTTGAAAATTTGCATAAAGGTAGGGAATGTACTTACTTACCTAAAAAACATTTGCTGCCACCTTCAATCGGTGGCGAAGTCTTGCAAATTAATGAATTTTCGAATTTGTGTTTTTGAATAACCATTTGACATTGAAAATCTCCAAAAAGAAAACTTGCCACGAAACCGAGTGCCATCAGCGTATCAGGGTCACCCGAGACTTCGCTCGGCGCCGGCGACTTTATCGCCTTGGCAGCAAAACTTTGCCACCGATTGAAGGTGGCAGCAAATGTTTTTTAAATAAGTAAGTACATTCTCTACCTTTATGCAAATTTTCAAAAACTCCGGTTATGAGGTGGATTGGCCCTAAAAATTGTCAACAACAATTGACTGGCGGCAATAACTAGCCACCGCTTACAGGTGGCAGCAACTGATTTTTAGCTTAATCGATAATTCCACTACCACCCTACAAATCGTTTGTTTTTGTCATTTTTTTCAACAATTAGTTGTCAAATTTCATCTACTTTGCCACCGTTTTGAGGTGGCAGCAAATGATTTTTGTGATGTAGGAGTATAAACCTGTATTTTGGAACCCATTTTGAAAGCTCCGGTTATGAGGAGGGTAAAACACTTGCTAGCTCCCGGACTATAACCTTGTTGTTATGCAGGAATATAAAAGTTACTTTGTTTATGTAATGCGAAGTTGGAAATAACTGTTAATTATCAAATTAATGAAGTACATATTTTCTCATGTTCCATTTTGGTTTTTTACTCTTTATTTTTTGGTTTTAGCGGAATTGCAGTTTTTTTTTGCTTCTTTCTCGCGTATGTTAATTGCTAGTAATTCCTTGCTGCTGTAATTTCAGTTTAGTTGACGGATAAGGAGTTAATGTTTGATAAATTATAAAATTACATAATAAAAAATCTTGATATCTTCAATTAACTGAAATTACAATCGGCAGTGAACAGCTGGGAGACTCTTTTAAAATTTACTATGTTTCAGATTTACCACCAAAGGACGAATACTTATTATATCATAGTAGTTTGTTTTATTACTGTACTGTATTACTTATGTTACCGAATAGTTTAGATTTGCATATTTGTTAGCATGTTGTTTACTGCATATTATTCAATATACCTACATATAATGTTCAATGCATATTATTCATTATTTAATGTTACGCAGGTATACATTTTTTTAAATAAATATGAGTTAAACTTTTGTTTTTTTTTCTTCGGGAGAGAACTGCTGCAATCTCCTATGCAATGCAAAACTATTTGGCATTATCTTCATCTGTACAGCATTCTGCCCTCCTTGGTCAAAACGCTATATCTGAAAAATCTAAAAAATTTCCTTTTTACATCATTCGAGTTGGAAGTATGAATATCTACCTTAATTTCTTAATAAAAGTGTGGGAAGCCGAGCCAAAACACATAAAAAACATCACATTTCATGCTATACATGTAAAGAAAATCAGATTTTTCTCAGGTGTGACTTCCCTGCAGTTACGGCGTTTTGATTAAGCAGGACAGCATCATAGTGGGTCGTAGGAAGCTAATAGATTATTCGTTTTTAATTCAACTGGGCCTATTGGCACATTATAGAGAGCGTGGTGTACTTAATGCCTTGTAGAATGCCTGTTTATACTTTGGTTTGGTTAAACTATTTGCAAATTATCCAATTAAAATCTTTAAATCCGAGTAAGTTTTAACTAGCATACTACAACTGGGCCTTGAACGATAAGATGGTAAGGATGAACGTTCACCATTCCTATTGTTGCTGAATGTGCACTTGAGGTATAAATTTGATTAAACTGTCAGCATTTCGTGCAGGACCTAGCTAAAGATGCTATGTCCCATAATAAATTCAGTTATTCTGTTTGCACTTAGCATGTATTACGAACGTTGATATTAAGTATACCGGTGCTGGCCAAAAAAACAAAAACCTATACCACTTATGGCCGTTTGTACTGACAAATTTAAGCTGAACTTAGCTTACATGGCAACCATTGTCTCAATTATCCGTTGCCATGGATTTTAAGGTACGCTTTAAGCTAAGGTAAGTTTAAACTTGTCGGTGCAAACGGCCATTAGAAAATAGAATGGTTCATTGTATACTAAGTTTTAAACATCGATGTATCAAAACTAAATAGGTAACGTAATATTTTTTTCATAGTTTTGACGAAAAACTAAATGTAGTGTATCATCATAAGAAATATAGGCAACACATGTTACTAAATATGCACGCAACTGTTTAATTTAGATTTTTATACGTCTGTGGGTCAAGTATGATGTATGATGTACTATGAATTTTATGTAACAATTACGACAACAAAACAATGTACAAGGCTAGTTAATAACATTTACTTAGTCTGTATTTGAACAGAACACTTGAGATGTAGTCACTGTGTGAAGACCACACGTTATACTAAAATTTGGTGTAATTCACTGTGTAGCTATTGGTAGGAACCCATTTGTTAATTCTGACAAAATGGGATCATAACCAAAGCGTGGGTGTATGAATTGTGGACCACAAATACATATAACATTGTTTAAATTATTAATTTATTGATTCCCTTTCTTACAGCATTGAGTTAATGAGTGCAATTTCGACTTTTTTATTTTTAGTCCTATAGAGTCCTTTGTTAAAATTTTGATAATTTTAGTAAATAACAAATGTATGTATAACACTTTGGTTAATGAAAATTGTTTATAAATTATTTAAACAATCAATCGTATATTTTGCCGTCATTGTTGCAATGTGGGGATTGTTACCGGCGGCGATCTACTATATCGGCATTTCTGTATTGCAGTAATCCTTATTAAACATATACAGGGTGCGGCAAAGCCGACTACGCAGTATCGATCGATTACCGCTCAGAGTGTGGTGGGGGTAGGCAGCTGCAACCGGTATTCCTTTGTTTGGTTGTTGACCCCATTTAGTAGGCAACATGGTTTGGACCGGTGTACATCGTGGTTTTGCCGTGCGGGCTTATTACGAAAACAACCGATCTGTGATCGCTACACAGCGCGCTTTCCGGCGACAGTTTAACATTCCGCGCAATGACAATGTTCCAAATGCAAACACGATTCGATCTTGGGTTCGGCGATTGGAGGAAACTGGAAACACATTAAGAGGAAATAAACATGGCCGATTCAAAAACGTCAGAACGCCAGAAAATGTTGTACAGGTGAGAACAGCTGTTCAAAATTCGCCGACACGTTCTGCTCGAAGACATGCTATCGCATTGGGGATGTCGGATCGCAGTTTGAGGAGGATTCTGAAATTTGATTTGAAGTTTCATCCCTACAAAATAATGTTTGCTCAAGAATTGCGCCCAGATGACTATGTCAGCCGTCGCAATCTGTGTGAGCAAATGCTTGCAGCCATCCATCCAAATGCAGCTTTCTTCAGTAGCGACGAGGCTCATTTCCACCTCAACGGGTATGTAAATAAACAAAATTTTCGCTACTGGTCTGAAAATAACCCTCAAATTGTTCATGAAAGACCGCTTCATTCTTCCAAAGTGACGGTGTGGTGTGCCGTATCTCAGTTTGGCGTGATAGGCCCCTACTTTTTTGAGGAGGAAGGCGTTACCGTGACTGTTAATTCCGCACGTTATGTTGCAATGTTGCAAAATTTCCTGCAACCCAGGATGAATGAAATTGTTGAAGAACATGAATTGGGGGACTTGTGGTTCCAACAGGATGGGGCTACAGCTCACACTGCTCGAGCTTCACTTCATGTTTTGAGAGAAATCTTTCCTGAACGTCTCGTCTCTTTGAGGGGTGATGTCGGGTGGCCTGCACGCTCACCAGATTTGAGCATCTGTGATTACTTTTTTTGGGGGTATCTAAAAGAAAAGGTGTTCAAGAGACGACCCCACACCATAGCAGAGCTAAGACAAAGGATTATTGAAGAAGTGAACGCCATACCCCGAGACATTTGTGCAAGAGCTACAGAGAACTTCAGACATCGCTTACAACAATGTGTTGATGCCAACGGCCGCCATCTTAGCGACATTATTTTTAAAACATAAGTGGATGTAAAATGGTATGTACTACTAATTCAGATTATTTAAATACATTGTCTCTAAATATAAAGAATTGTTTTTTATTGCTCCTCAAAACTGCTTAGTCGGCTTTGCCGCACCCTGTATATCCGGAATGATCACTGGAATTTTTATAAAACTGCGCAATTATACTACGGCGGCCATTAAAAGAGAAAAAATGGCGTATTTTGATTTTTGTGTACGAAATGACAAGCATCTTAAGACGATGGGCATTTATAATAAAAAGCAGGCAGTCGCAATTCCGGCGGACCTCAGTGATGTGGATCGGATGAATACTGCTTTTGGTAACTTTTCTAAACTAACTGTGATACACAACCAGTGATATTTTAAACAAATTCAAGTGACTGTGATCTTTTGTGAGAAACTGTGATACATTTGAGTCCAAACAACTGTGATACAAAACCTGTCGTTTGTTGCTGTCTTTTAATTTTATACCCATTTTATTAATTGTTCCCCCTTTTAAACGTGTGGATATACAGCCTTGTTTTTAAACTGTTCTTGTTGTTCGTCCCTTATTTTATATATTTTAACATGTTATACACCAACACCGCCCGTCCGATATTCTCCGGGGTGCAGCACACGCTGTACCGGAGTTTATAACTTAGTATAAGTAGGTCCTAACAAAACTGTTAAAATTATGTTGGGTTCTGTATATATAATTATCCTAACTGCGGTGGCCCATATTTATACACACACGATTACAACATGATCAAAGTTATGCAGGCCAATATAAACAACTCAAGGGTGGCCTATGACCTATTAAATCATACCGCCCGCGAGCGAGGCGCAGATCTGCTCATCATATCAGAATGCGGGAAATCCAGACACCCCAACATGTTCAAAGATCGGACAGGGAGGGTAGCGATAGTAGTCATGAATCCAAAAGTGGAAATTAACAAAGTGCAAAGTGGCAAGAACTACGTGTGGATAGATATGAAGGGATTAGTGGTGTGCGGAGTTTATTTTCCCCCTAACGACACGGTGGAGGACTTCGGAGAAAACCTCGACGAAATGATAACAGACCTGCGTGGAAGAGGGAAGTACATAGTGGTCGCGGGCGACGTTAACGCAGCCTCGACTATGTGGGGGTGCGGAAAAACTAATAGAAGAGGAAGCATGATTGAAGAGATGGTCGCGACCATGGACCTGATGGTGGTGAACGAGGGAAACGACCACACATTTGAGAGGGGATCCAGCCGCTCGATCATTGACGTGACAATGGCAAGTGGGAGCGCCAATAACTTCAGTATCCGAAAGTGGATGGTCGAGAACGAAGAAACGTTGAGTGATCATAAGTATATTAGTTTTAACATGGGGTAAGGCGTACAAAATAGTAGTAGGGAAGTTTGGCGCGAGAGAGCAAGCGATTGGATCAGACTCCGAAGCCCAGGAACAGCTGCAGACACTTTTCCCACTAAGAACGAAACCGGAATGGCGGATGACGACGGAGGATCTACAGCCACCAAAGAATATTGACCACAACGAGATCATGGAGGCAGCGAAGATGATGCCAAGGAAAAAAGCTCCAGGGCCGGACGGTTTTCCCGCGGAGTACGTGGCTCTGGTGGCAAAGAGAGCCCCCGAGTTGTTCACCGATGTCTTCGATACAGTTATGAGAGAAGGGGTGTACCCGAAGGTGTGGAAAGAAGCAGATGTGGTTCTAATCCCAAAGAAGGACAGGGGGAAATTTCGGCCAATAGCATTACTAAGTCACCTGGGGAAGTTATTCGAAAGGATAGTGGCGGCGCGAATTAAATCTATATGGAACGCCTCCCCAAACCAGTATGGTTTTGTGAGAGGGAGAGGAACGAAGGAAGCGCTCCAAGACCTGGTAGAGACTGCCAGGACGGCCAAGGCGGGAACGTGGCGGACCAGGGAGGTGGTGTTAATGGCATCCCTGGACGTGCAAAAT